ATTTCTATAGCGCCAATTCACAACACATGTCATTTCAAGGCACTTTACAGTTTACCAGATCATCCAGTCAAATTGATTAAAAGTCTTTTATCTATGGAAAACCAGTTAATTGCATCAACTCATTGACTCGAATGCAATCCCTCACAGTAAGCATGCTTTTCATCAGACTTTAATGAACTGAACGATAAGAAAGATACTTTCGGCGGATCTTTTATTCTGAAAATCCCTACATTATAAATGCAGTAAATGTCAGTTTTTTATTTTTATTTGGGCAGCTTAGATGAGTCGGTAAAGAGCTCTGGAAAAGGGAGGCTGGATTATGACACATTTCTAACATTACCATGATGAACTTGTTTGCTTTGGGACCACACCTCGTTTTAGAAAAGGTAAACCTAAAGCAATTACAAATGGAATAAAAGCTGTAGTATCTAAATCAAGAATTAAACTAGAAAATAAAAATCATAATCATAAATAATTTTGAGTCATAAAAAAGATATTTACCAGTTGTATGTAAATCTTAATACTAAAAAAAAAAGAATCACATAGGTTAGCATTAAGTTGGGTGTTTCCTTTAAGAGGTCTGAACCAAACATCCAGTTCCTGCAGTAAATAAATTTAGATAAACTGATAACCTTTTCAAACGCCATCAGCTTCCAGGAGAAACAAACAGCTGCTTCCTAAAAATGTTATTTTAGACAAACTTTCTGCATAAGTGGTGATTAATTTCAGGTGCTGCTCTGGATCTTGTAGAGCAGGACTTTCCATGGAAGTCTGAGAATACAGCAGACCGAGCTGATGTCTGGAAACAAAGATATACATTAGAGTTGATGTAAAAACACAGCTGGGCTCTGCGCCCTCCTACATCGACTTCCTAGAGACAGAAAACCAGCAGCGACTGGGAATAGCATCCTATACAGACAGCCTGTCATTATGAAGCTGGCACGCTCGCCTGCAGTCGCTGAACATCTCCTGCAGAAACAGAGCGTCTCAAACAAGCCGCTAAATCATCACCTATAAAACCAAGAAGAAGAGAGTAGCTATCTTCTACCCTGTCTGCATTGCTAATGCGGTTTGTCTGAAAGATACTTTAAAAGTTTGCATTCTGAGGCGATGTTATGGTTTAAAGCTGAGGCCTGAGAGGTGTTAAATTATATCTCAGCTCTGACTTCTGTGTGCTTTAGCTCTACAGCTACGCTTTCACCAAATTCAAAAGGAAACTGAATTAATGAGAACAGAAAGAATGTTATGGTTCCTGAAGTAAAAGGATAAATTAATAGGTTTGAAAGTAAAGTTAATGTAAGACAACGTTTCCAAAATACAAATACCTTCCAGAAAAACGGAGATATGTCAGTGTTCAGACATGCCAGCAGTTACTCATTCATGGTTCTATTTTTATAAAGTGTGCAGACTGCCTGACACTAATTAGCACATTAAAACAGGCTGTTTGCCATAAACTCCCATCCACCCTGTTTTCTCCAAACCCAACATAATAACTGGCATTACAATGAACACATATGAATGTAGCATTTAGCTGGTGTGGAAGTGTGTCAGCCTGATGTAATCTGAGGGAAAATAGGTTCTTGTAGTGGAACCTGGAAGACCAAGTTCAGGGAAAAGTGCCTTAAAATTCAATTAAACAAAAAACAACTTTATTAATCCCAAAGGTAAATGAAATAAAATAAGATCTGATTTGAATACATTTTAAGGAATTGCTCTTTTGGAAACTTAAAAAAGACATGTAAAGACTTTATGGTCATGTTAAATAAAAGTATCAGGTGTATATTAGTTATTTTATTCTCCATGTGCACAGTTTTATATTGTTAAAATACTTTACAGTACAGTATTTTATTTTTATCTTTTAACTATTCACTAGTAAGTTTTTCCATACATTTTTCTAAGGTCCACATTTGTGTGACATTTTATTTTCTATAATCTTTTTGCTGCTGTAAACACCACAATTTCCCCATTGTGTGACTAAAAAGGGATTTTTTATTCTAATCTATTCTATTGTATTCTATTCTAGATGTTGGTTTATGCATGTCTAACACTCAGCTGCCCACTGTCACCACATGCTTGCTCTATATGATACATTTTCTGCAAAGTCTATGACTTAATAAAACCCTCTGAGCTGCCTTGAAGAGTTAATGTTTTTTGGCAATAAATATTTGATAGACTTAACTGCATTTTACTTCGTAAATCGTTAAAACATCTATAGAAAAAGTTATATCCACTGCAAATATTTCAGTGCAAAGTTTATAACTATAATCAAATTATAAATAAAACACTTAGTTTATTTGGGAATTTATGGGTACTTTCTAATTACTGGATCACCACTAATTTGTAGGCGTTTAAACGAGTGTGCCAGACTGCCAGCAGGTCAGAAATCGTGACTCAGGACTGGAAATTTGGGGCAAGAGTTAAAGCAAACTGGAACAAGTCAGCCAACAAGTTATGGTGAAGAGAACTGAAGGAAGGACAGATGTGAGTCATTAAAGGATCAGGATACCCTGGGAAAATGATGACGGGGCGATGGAAAATGAAAGGGACAAGGTTAAAGATGTCAGTTTCAGTCACATGTGACCAGGAGAAGACAGGAATGCTGCACACTTCCACAGAGTCGCAGGAATGAGCTGTCAAAGCCCTGCTCGGCCTCCACGTATAGTGGCTCCATTCATCAGCTGCAGCACAGAGAAGAAGAGGGAGAGGAGGGTCGTCTTATGTTATGTTTAGCCAGACTGAGACAGGCTGCCCTTTGAGGAGCCCTCTGCTTTGAAATGAGGCTGAGGAACATCCATGTCAAGCAAATATTGCCCTGAATTTCTCCTCTTTGGAACAAACTGGGCTTTCATAGCTCACTGGTTCCGCTGCTCTCAGGATGATGGTTCTACCTCCTCCTCTTTTCTTCTTTCTTCCACAGAAGAATGAATAAACACGGCTGATTCTGACCACTTTCTTCCTTAAAAAGGGCTTTCACTGCCTGGGTGGGGCGCTGTCATAATTTACACCCACATCTGCTGCTGCACCACAATGAGCTCCCACAGCGTGTGAGCGTTTGCCCAGAGGTCCGGATCCAAAGTGATCACGCAGGTAAAGGAAGGCTGATATACCTTAAATACTCCTTCATACCTTCGCCTCTATAAGCGTCCTTTAGGATGAAGAGTGCAGCCAGAGCTGCACACAGAGGCACATTCAGTCATGAAGCATACGTTTCCACACCCTGAGCTGCAGGAAAACATCTATAGCTTACAGACGCATATGCATAAACACGACTGTACAAAGCACACATAGACCCAGACACACTGTGAGCTTTCAGTCCCAAAGCCGGCCACTGAGGCGTCCGCAGCATAGCAAGCTATTCATAAAAGGTAAAAATGTCTCAAGCTTCTGCCTCCAAAATACACATGGGACACCAGAAGGGCCAAGCTTGGATTCTCTGACTGGAAATGGGGCCAAAGAAAGCTGATAAAAAAACCAGACCTCAGCATCTGTTTACAAACTACCTAAATTATGAAGTTTATCATCAAACCCGAGCTTCTAAAAATACTTAGAGGTGAGAGAAAAAACAACAACTTTAATGTTCTACTGAAATAGTTCTCAGATCTGCCCAAAGGATCTGCTGTAAAGGAAGAAAATTAGCTTTTATTTTTAAACTGATAAGGATTTAGGGGACCAAATGGGTTTAATATCTGAAAAATCCACAAAGACGAGTAGTGGAGTATGAAGGATCTGCTTTAAATATTTATCATTCCAGGATGAACTAATCTATAATCTATAAGGAGGCAACAGGGCATCAGAGATGTGCAGAATATTAATTCACAATAAAAAAATAATAAAATACAACATTTTTAATCATTTCTGTGGGTCTGAAAATAAAAGAAGCAACTATAGAGCAGATATATGCTGATGATTAATGTAATTATTAAAACCTAAATAATGTGGATATATGTAAATTAAATCCCTCCTCCTTCAACTACCAGAGGCAGAGATGGATGGACTGGTGAACAGGCTGAACTGGTAACATCCCACCAAATGTTCAGGGTCCAGTTGGCAGAACCCAGAATAAACATTTCTATTTACATTAAGAAAATATTTTTTTCTGTAGAATAACAAACATGAGGTTCAGAGAATAATCATCAGAAGAAGAAACAAAAAGATTTTTGCACCTTTTCTACTCCAAGATAATTTCTGTGAGGAGTAAAAGGTGTAAAGTTAGCCTATCCATACAAACATACTGCATAATTATAATAAAGACAAAAAGTAACTAAAGTAAAAAGAAGAAAAAGAGTTAAAACTATTTGCATGTGAGATATTTAAGCAAAATGTCTTCAGCTTTCAGTGGACAAACACCTGCCAGCAGCAACAGGCTGCAGATTCACTCTGTGAGCAGGAAACCTGATTAAACTTTTAGAAATAAATACAAACTTTTTATAACCATTGTTTGTTTAAAGTCTATACATAAACAATGACATCACTATAACAATTATAACAATAGCTAGATCTGACATGTAAGATTTATCCGGTAGAATAACCTTTTAGTGAATTTATTCACTGCAATTGGATCAAGTTTGGTTATGATTTATTTATTTTTCCATCAGATTTAAACTAATTTCAGGAGTTCTGTCCAGAAATGAGCTCTGGAACCGAACAGCAGTCACCCTGGGAGGATTTGGGAATTTGACCTATTGGCGCACAAAGCATAAACTTCACGATTTAAAACTGTCGGACTATGCGCTGCAAATACCAAAGAGGTTTATGTGTTTGGATACTGTGGGGCCCAGCGTAGCGGGGGATTGTTTACCGCATTCTTTAGGGAGTCTGCGGGGCAGCATGTCAGGTGCGCCAGGATCCGATCATGGATGAACTGCAGATTCATTACGCGCGCAGCTAATCCAGTCAAATATGACAGGAATGGAGTTTGAACGATAGGGAACATAGATGTAACTGAGGAAATTCCTCAAAAGCGCGACTAAGCTCCTGTGGATGTTGGCTTTCTGTCTTACCTGCCCGAGCCACGGTGGTTTGGCACAGGCTGAGCGCCACAGCCAGCAAGGCGAAGGATGGGAAGCTCATGCGCCACGGTCTCCGCTTCTTCCGGAAGGGACAGACTGGAATATCCATTGCGCTGCAGAGGTTTGCCGGCCTGGCTGAGCTGTAGACGCAGGATAAGGTGGAAGTTATCCTCTCACAGAAGCCAGCCGTGGAGAAGGAGCCGGACTGAAGCTCCTGTGAGGCTGCAGACAAAAAGGCACGCCTCTGGAGACGTCCTCACCTTTCTCCTGGAGACTTTTCCTAATGAGTTACCGACGTTTGGGTTAATACATAAATAAAACCTAAACACCTGACGGGGAATGGGGGTTAATAAATATAATTGTAAAGTTTTAACCCCTTGGTGCTAAAACCCCATTGAGTCAGATTGGGTATAGTACCCAAAGTGGAGAGAGCAGCAGAGAGAGACCTGGAATCACTCTCTCTCCCCCCCTTCTCTCTCTTCGCCCCTTCTTTACTTTCTCACACAGAGAAAAGGCGTGTGTGTGTGTGTTTTAGTGGAGTGGAGGAGAGAGAATGGCACGGAGGGGAAGGTTAGAGAGGGCGTGCGTAATTGCGCGCTGGGTGCATGGAGATATACAAGGAAAATGAGGTCTTAATGAGACGTACAACTGTTTCAGGCGAATGAAATAACTGTTCTTTCTTTCTGTGGTTTTGTAGTTTGTTGATGACTAAAAGTTAAAGTAGACAAAAATCACAGCTGTTTATTTTTCCAGTTCTGTTGAAAATCATGATTCATAGAAAATCTGTTTATTGTCATCATCACCAACCTCTCTAACTTGGTTTTCTTTTATTTAACCTGATAAGAACAGGTCAGGTAAACGGTGGCAGCGGTTAGAGCGACATGTGGAGCCGGGCTGAGTGAGCGTTAAACCAGCCAATCAGAGTCCTGTCCGCACAACTAGCCACGCCCCCTTCAGCAGGTCCACCGGTTCCTTATTTGACATTTTGACACTAGATTAACTCTGATGAACCGATTAAACAAGAGGAGATTAATAAAAAAAAAAAAAAAAAAAAAAAAAAAAAAAAAATATATATATATATATATATATATATATATATATATATATATATATATATATATATATATATATATATATATATATATATATATATATATATATATATATATATATATATATATATATATATATAACTCTAATACTTGGATCTCATTAATTTTGTGAAAAAAATTAAGTATTTCAGATTCTAGAAGAAGATTTTGGTAACAGAAAATATAAAAAAACGGTAAAGATTTGCCAATTAACTTTTAGTTCTTATTTCTAATTTTCTTAATTGTTCTTATCATTATTGATACTGATTTTTTCTTGTGAATTTAGCACTTTGATAAATAAATAATTAAATTGAAATAAAGCATTAATAGTTATAATTAGATAGAAGGTTTGTTTTCCAATTAAGTAAAAATTGACAGTGACTTTTAGCTTCATTAATGAGTTTCCATCACTGATGCCTCAATGGAGCCTTGTCTGCTGTTACCTAAACATTGATGCTGATTGTATCACACACACCTTCTCTGATTGGAAACCAAATAATAGATAATCAGGAAAGATAAGTTTCCATTCCTCAGTAAAGTTTGCTTGATTAATTAAATTATGACCCATTTTCAACCAGCCTTCTTTGTCAAACCTCTAAACCAGATAGAAAAATATAACTTCTGACAGGAAATGACTCAGGGACTAATCCTGGTAAGCAATAGCAACTAATACTTTGCTTCAATGGGGATCTCTGTGTCACTATCTGTTGAAGTAGACTGATTATTCTTTACCAAAAAAAAAAAACGAAATCCTTAAAAAACCTTTTTTAGAATATTAATGTTTTTTAAAGACTTATTTATACAATACTCTATCAGCATATGATAAAACTAAACGTTTTTTTTTTCCATTTCATGTCGACAGTAACCCCCCTGCTGGCCTCTGTGTAAAAATATATAAACCAGTCATCATATATGGGGACAAATTAAAAGATAAATGCAGACAAATAACCAGCTGTCAAGTACCTGATTGCTTCATCTATCAGACCATAAACGTTAATCTAAAGAAACATTCCTTTCATAATTTCAAAGTGGCGTTTATATCCATACCTGCTGTAAACACTTAAAAGAAGCGTGTATGTTCAAAGTGGCTCTGCGTGCCCTGATGTCTGCCTTTAAACGTCTCTGCCTGCACAAAGCCCATGGTTAGTCACTTTCTTTGACTGCAGGCTTCACATCCACAGAGCCCTAATTAACCATAATTATGCCCTGATCCTCCGTACCACTCACTCTTTCTCGCCACCTTCTCATTTCTTCCCCTGTTTGCGTTTTATTTTCTGATGGGCGTGTTTGCAAGCTGTGGTACTTTCCAAGATAACTATCGACTATAATTCAGTCTGGGGGCTTAGCAACCATAAGACAAGAAAAGAACTAGCAGTATTGGACATAACAGTAAAAGAGAAGAGGAGCAAACAGAACCAGAAATTCTTCCCTGCAGCTTTAATGGGGTTAAATTATGGAAATAAATTCAAATAAAATCTCTCTCTGCTCATTTAACACCTGACTGAGAGCTGCTCTATTTCCTGAGATGATGATTCATAGATTTATAGCAATGTTTGATGTAGTTATTTGGTCAAAGATGGCTGCTTCTCCTGGTTCTGGTTCTGCTGGAGGTCTCCTCCTGTTGAAAGGAAGCTGTCATCGCCTCCTGCAGCACAAGACGCTGAGCTCGATTATAGGGGAAATCTGGAAACGTCCCAATCCTCCATTTTTCATTTGTTGCTGCACTGAACTGGATCGTCTGGTTTTTAATGAAACAAAGAAATTCTGGACTAAATTAAACAGTATTCTAAAATAAATTTCTGTTTTAAATCAAATATTTGTTAAACTAACGAAACGATTTCTACAAATATAAATTACACACACAGCAAGTGTGTTTCCCCTTTTTGTGTAGTTTTAAAGTTTTTCTTTTACATAGAAACTGCTTCCAAATCTGTTTTCAGTCTAAGTTTATGTGCATGAAATCAGAAAGCTCAGAGCTTCTCCCTCTGTGTGGCAGCTTTGTTATTCAACCTCTCTGGACACACTGGACTGAGTGTTTCCTTTTGGGGACAGTCTGTTTGGTTCTAGACTCAATTTGCTCTGAAAGAAGACACCACAAGCTGTAAAGAGAGACACCCCAGGAGACATCTGAGGCTTATGTGTGTTCTGGATTCCACATGTAAAGTATGTGTGCAGTAAGTTCAGCATAAAAGCTCTGTTGCTTTGTTTAGCTGCTGTCGGACCAAGAACAGTTTATTGATGAGACAGCGATGAGTCAATAATCACTGGAGATTAGATTTCCTCCTTTAATTCTGGACAGTCTCCATCTGAGGAGCTGCAACCAATAAAGGCGCCATATAGACGTTAGGCTGAAATGCTGCTTCCAGATAATTTAAGTTTCGGTTTTGCTCAGTTGAAAAAGCTATGGAGCAATTAGGATGGAAATAGTATAATATTACCATAATGCTTTGATGCCAACTTCCATATGTGAAAAGGATTAAAGAGGATTAAAATTTGAATAATGTTGAATAAAATGTATAAATTGTAGAAAGTGTTATTTTAGATTCAGCAGTTCTTATTCTGACAAATCTTAAGGGAAAAACGGTTTTATTTCAAATTTATTTGTGTGATGCTACGTCCATAAGTGAAGAGGAATGTATCTCTTCTAACAGGAAGTAATGTCCTGCAGAAGCAGATTGAATGACTTCATCAAAACTCTCCATTCAACCCAAATATGTAAACTAATGACACAAAGCTGCTGCTTTAACATCAGTAATGATGAATATAGGTCAGACATGATCTGTTATCAGTTACCAGCAAGAAAGAAATATTGAAATATTGTGTTTTCAAACAGTATTAATACAGATCAAATGTAGATCAAATAGTCAGGAATAAACGTTCATTTTTATCTTTATGTGTTAATCTTTTAATCTCTAATTCAAAACCAGACTAAATGTAAAACATTTGATTTATTAGCAAAACCACAATCAGTATAAGCAGATGATAGTGTTTCCTGTTTGCTTGGATCACCTCTGTGTAGTAGAAGGAAACTTTATTTAAACTATAGATCTGATTCTTTATATGACAAGTAGACTAAAGAAATTACCAGAACTGATGTTAGAAAGCCTTAATATAACTTATATGTACATGTTAAATTGTTTTGTTTTCTCATTAGAATAAAATGAAATTAATTGTTCTTTTAATTCTTTGGATTATAAACCAAGAATCTGGTTAATCTGAGTCCAACTCAGAGTTTGGGTTTAAAGGCGCCAAATGTTCATGGATGGTTCTGGACAGAGGCCAGTGGGATCCATTGACTGTGTAGAACTGGGCCTGGTTCCTCTTATGCCCTCTATACCATGATGATATATTCGGGCACAGAAACTTTAACAGTTATTATTTTTATGTCATTTTTTTCATCTTTATTGTTGTATTACAACAGTGACTTAAAAATTAAGTCGTTTCTCTGTAAGCTTCAGTTGTTATCTGTCAGGATCACAGTTTATCTCTGCTATATCTGGATGTGCTTTATTTAATAGGGTCTACACCCATCCAAATAACACTTTGGTTCTGCGTCTCGTTGGATATATAAAACAATAAACTTGCCAAGTTTTTGCAAAATTTTGCTCTGTGCCCCATGAAAAACTGCACAGAGTGAACTACTATAAACTTAAGTATTTTTTGCTTATTTTACATCGGTTTTTATAGTGTAGGTGGTAACAGCATCTTTTAAAAAAGTCTCTTAGTAGATAATTTAATGTGAATATTAAATATAACATTTTAATTCTGTGGTTTTATGACTGTCAAAGGCAACAGATTCAAACAATCAGCCTTTAAAGCTTATTTGGTTCTTATTTGGTCTGTTTCCTCCATTATATCCTCTCTTGTTACCATATTCTGCATCAAGCAGGACTTCCTTTTTAGCATTTTCATTAAACTGCCATACACCAATATTATAGAGCTATGATTAAAGTTTACCTCCACTGCAGCCTGACTTCATCTTCTGAAAACAGACCTGTGGTTAATTTCAGGAGCTGCTAAAACCAGCTGATGCCTACAGACAGGTGCTTTTGTTAGTTTAACCCAGAGAAAAAAATCTGGGCAGCAGATCCAGATAATAAAATTAAGCCTCAATGTCAGCTGCCTGCAAATTAATAAAAGCTTGTAATTAGCTGGGAATGATATTTAAAGGCTTAGAAGAACCCAGAAACCACGGAGATTCCTTGAAGAAAAACCTGCATCATATGAAGCCTCCCATTAAACCAAATTCTTATGTCGACCAACCTGATGCTTCACAGACTGTAAAATCAAGGGGTGATTAGTGGAAACATCTGGGTCAATGGAAGCAAGAGTCCTGGAGGATGAGATGAGCGCCGGAGAGGAGCGTCTGCTGAGGGAGAGCGAGACATGGCATCAGCTCGGCCCGGTGGACCCAGG